CATTTTTTATATTTTTACTAAACATATATTTACTTATAAAAAATTTAACAAAGTAAGACAGAAATAATATTTAAGTAATAAAAAATCCGAAAATCCTGAAAATCCGACAAAACCAAACCAATTCAAACCGATATAGTTGGCTTGATTTAGTTTTAATAAAACCGAACTAACCCGGTCCATGTACACCCTTACATGAAGCTTTTGTCCGCTCAAAAAATATCTCAGGTAGACATGATCGGAACCGGAAAACAATGAGTCTGATAAAATTGAAAGAATTTGCATATTCAACCCAAAATCTAAAGAAAATTGAAGGAATGGTCCATGACATTAGAAATTGTTTTGAAAATCCTTCTATAACTAATAAGGAACAAGTGTATTCTTTAACAAGTATTGATGTCATAATATGTTATAAACACAAATTAAAAGAATAAATTAATTGGAAGAAGAAGATATATTTCTAGACTAATACTTCAAGAACATGTTATGGTATGTTTTACATAACTACTTCTATATATGTAGAAAGAATTTCTGACTTAGGGAAATCTAAAATTAAATTAAAGATTGGTGAATTTAAAGTGTTGCTTTTGTAGCTAGAAATCGAAGTAGTTAGTGACATACGCAATATACACTACATGCAGTATGTGCGCACGTACCCTAAAAGCCTATAGACCAAATCCATTCGTGCATTTTATTTGGAGTCATGCGTGTGGAAGAGTTTGTTGGAGAAAAAAGAGACTTTCTTTTGAACTGTAGCAAGCTTGACCCGGAGGAGGGGCTATTGGGTTTTTTTTTTCTTTTATTATTATTATTATTATTATTATTTTTTTTTTTTTTTTATTTTTTTTCACTGGATATTTGGTATTTGTATTTGGGGTGAGCACCCTCCACTTCCAACCAAGAGGTTGTGGGTTCGAGTCACCCCAAGAGTAAGGTGCGGAGTTCTTGGAGGGAGGGATGCCGAGGGTCTATTGAAAACAGCCTGCGTGTTACAGTGGGTTGTTGTTGTTGTTATTGTTGTTGATGTTGTATTTGGGGTTTCGATTAATGCGTAGACAAGGTCCATTAAAAGGAGAATCGCTCCGGATTTTTTCATTTTTAGGGTTTGAACCCGAGACCTATAGCTAATCCGAAACTTATACTATTCTAATACAAAGAAGAAGACCAAAAAAGATTATCCTCGGAATCTTAATTCCAGCAACTTTTGAGAACATAGAGGTTATAATTATTAAAATTAATTCTTGCATTCTAATTTAATTTGGTAAACGTTTCCTGTGCTTTTCCAGTTTGTGGTAATCACGATGATTTATTGCATTAAAAAGAAAATAAATTAGTTAGTTCTTCTTGCAGTTTGACCAGAAAGTGCCTAACTATAGAAACTATAGACAAATTTCTTCCCCATCCCACCCCCACCTTCCTTGTTGCAAACAAAAAGAAGGAAGAAAAAGAAAACATTTATGTGACTTTCGGCCAAAAAATTTCCCCTCTGTTACAGTATACTCCTTTTCTGTTTTATTACTGGAAGAAAGCAGTGATAATTACAATCTTTTCAGGTTCAACAAGATTTGTTACCAATTTACCGTACAGCTAATAAAAAAGAATTGTCCCCCTGGTGGGCTGAATTCCTCTTTTTAACGGTTAAAATAACTTATGCTCCCCAATAGGTAATGGTTTATAAGCATAGCATGTCTGCATCCTATACATACCAAAATCTCAAAATATTATTTTTTTACAATTTCTTGATCACCTTTATCGTAACTGTCACAGTCGCCATATCGTCGGTGAAACACACCAATGTTTATACACAGCGACAGATTCATAATTCGATTTTCATGGGTGTGATTTCGAGATTCTATCATGATTTATTGATTTATTGAGTTAAAATTCAATTATTCATATTTAATTTTTTGAATTTATACACATAAATATAAGATTTCGAATGAACCCATAACACATTTGTGCGGTTCGTACAATCTTATCAGCTTATCATTACAATTTAGCTTAAAGTGTTTGGCTATGAAATAATTGTGATGGTTTTAAGGTTTTATTTTATGTCCTAAAATTAATATTTACCTTGTGCTGTTTATCAAATGGACCCAATTCTTTTTATTTTTCCCTTTCTCTACTTCTCTTTTTAATTTCTGCTTTAAATATTTAGGTATGAAATTTTGCTGCCATCTCATATTTCCTGTTTAGGGCTGCTATATTATAAGATGCCAGTCCTTTAATTTTGTTCCATTCTGGATAGAAGAAGATTGTAATTTGTAGGGCCAAAAGAAAGAGGTCTCAATAATTTGCTTCACATGCATTCAAAGTGACCCCTCCAATATACTATTGTACATTGCTTTCTACGCTTTTTTTTTTAAAGGAAAAGCACAAGTCTATAGAAAAAAACATATTCAATTAATATGGGGAGTCCACATCTTCATGGATGCACGTGGATAGTAGACTCTGGTTCAAGGCCATAACTACATTGTTTCATATATCCGCATGGCCCTATTTTGATTCTTTCAAAATCCTTAGCTCTTCAATCATTGAAATTATAATTTGTTATCTTCCCCCTTATTTCTGTATGTAAATATTTTCTGTCAACTTGTAATGCTAGATGACTAGTACACGATATTGTTCAAATATAGAATGAGCTGTTATCTCCTTATAATGTCTTGATCGATACTCACCTCATGAACTAGTTTTTCAGATTGAGTTAATTTAAAAGTTTTTTTTTTTTTTTTTTGTCATGTTATCACAACTAGACGTACTCATCCATATTCTAGGTGTATACCGTTGTTGGAGCCCCATTTATATTGCCACTCTCCATATATCCAATCTAGAGTGTGTGGAGGTGTTAGAATGTTTCACATTTGTGAGAAAATTGATTTTTTTTCTTTATATGGTCTTGAGTCATTCCTCACCTCATGAGTGAACCGTTATATTTTAGTCAGGCATAAGGTTTATTTTCTTATTGACACACTCTTAGTCTCAATTTCTATGACGGTATTTGAATAGGCACATACTTTAAAAACGATTTTCTTTTTTCAAAATTTGTGATTTAAAACATGCGGACATTTCTGTGACTATAATTCATTTCATTACGGTAAAATGAGAAGTCTAAAATTAAATTATTACTGTAAATTAAAAGTATCATTCTCCTTCGAACAAAACAAAAAAGAAATGTATCTAATAAAATGGGATAGAGGGAGTACTGATATGTAACTTGGAAAAAGAAAGTAAAATGATTTAGGAGGTTCCTGGTCAGTCCACCTCAGAAAACTTGGACTTATGGATTTTTTACGGTGATAATGATCTAAAGACTGATAGGGGTATCTTTCACATGAAACTTGGCCTAATTTTTAAGGTAGATAAATAAAAATTAAACTGGAGTTATTATGGTAGAAAACCAGGGGAGCCAAAATTTGGTAGCTTTTCTTATTAGAAGCTGATGCAGCCTCTTGAAAATTTTTGCTTAATCTTGAGGATTTTTCCTCTAATTTGCTCATTTCCCCTCTAGCATTTCTCCTAATTAAGTTCAAAGAAAGTAATGTAATATCCCTTTCCTCAGTATCAGGATCAGTAGGGGTGTATAGGGACCGGGTTGGTAACCGAATCAACTATACCGGTTTGGATTGGTTCGATTTTGTCGGCTTTTTCGGGTTTGTTTTTTTACTTAAATATTATTTCAATGTTACTTTGTTAAGTTTTTTATAAGTAAATATATGTTTAGTAACAATATAAAATATTGATAAATATATTATCTATTAAAATATTCTTATGGGAGAATTTTCTTAATAACACATAAAAGTTACTTTTTAGTCGTTTGTCAATAATTTTTTGTTGATGTTCACTTTCAAGTTAACCGAATTTAGTAATTAAACATAAAAATCAATATGATAAATAAATAATAATAATCTCTTCACATTCGAAAAAGATATAAAAATTTAATAGATCTTAACATATGATATGAATATGGAAGAACAAAGAGATTGACGCATTTCAGTAACACTTGATAAGAAAGTGATCATACAACCCTTACTTAAGGTTAATAAATATGGAGCACTTAATATTCTATTAAATATTATATCCCGCAAGAGAATCCCAAATATTTCTAGACATTTTTTTAAAGAAAATTCTATATAAAATCTTAAAAGTATATATAAAAATTATATATTTATGTCGGTTTGGTCCGGGGTTTTTTTTTACTCAATACCAAACCAAATCAAATCAAACCTAGTCGGATTTTTTAATCGGTTTGACCTGACTTTTTGGTTGGTGTGATTTTCGGGTTCGGTTTGTATAGCCCTAAGTATGAGTATTTGTACGAGTATGAAGATGGTTTGTTTCTATCATAGGGACCCTCTTTCTCCTGTTTTTGCTACAAGTAGATAAAGTTAGTTTCTGATAGAGGATGTATCATTTGTGTCCGCACTCTATAGACTGCATCAATGACATGGATATCCTCCAACCCCCAAAGATTGAGTTAGAAATTTTTTTGATTCACTGGTGAATACTTCCTTCAGTCTTGACTATTAGCAGCCTTTTAGGTTGTGGGGTTTTTGATTTTTTCTTTTTAGTTTCTTTAAGATAGAAAGTGCTATTTTTGCATGTATATATATGAACCTAAAAGAGACAGCTATAACATATGTTTACATCATATTTTGGTCCCTAGGAAGAGAGGAAATGACTTAAAGACTGTCAAAAGTTAAAACTATCTCCATCTGCAGGAGACAAGGATAGACACACATTTAAGGAAAATGGTTCCTTGAATCATTCAATAGGAATATATTATGTGCTTTTCATCAATTGTACAATTAGGAAAAAGGCCTATTATGATAGAGATGTGTCCTGTACATGTGTTGAAGAGTTTGTGAAAACTCAAAAAGATTTAGACTATGTTACATATTGTCACAATCTTCAACTGATTCTTTTAGGTTGAATAGGAAATCCCATACTCTTATGTGAAAGTTGTTGCTGTTGGAATGAACACTTAATAGACAGAAAAATTTAAAAGAGAAAAAGAAAAAGTAATATTCATTCTATTGAAAACATACACATAAAGAAGAACAAGAATTTTGCAAAAGAACCATTTACAGATTAAGAATAAAACTCTATATATAGCACACACCTGTTGGATATTAACAACTCTGCTGATAGAATATAGGTTAAGAAAATTGTCCAAATGCATCTGGAATTCTCTGAAAATGCTTATTATATAAGTCTGCAGTTTGTAGAGAAGGTTGTTGCTGTTGGTTCTGCAGCCATGTCAATGAACCTTCTGTTGCAAATTGTGTGCCTGATTTTTCACTGTACAATTCTTGAGTTATTTGATGATTGTGGATTGAATTGCCTGGTAAAAATTGTGTATGCAAATATTCAGACCATTTGATGTCTTCAGGATCAGTTTCTGATGGATGAATATTGGCTTCTTTTTCTGATTTCCCACAGTCAGCAGCTCCCCATGAGAATGCATTATTATCAAAGAATGAAGAGTTTCTTTGCAATTGATCAATACTAGTACTGCTCCCATTGCTGGTAAAAGTCCCTATTGAATTATTACTTGCTGCTGCTATTGGAGATGTGAGAATTGAGTTTGAAATGGAAGGGAGAATATTATCATTTGTTGTCATGTTGGAATTGAACTGATGAGAAACCATTTCTGAATTCTTGGGATTATTGGAATTGAAAAGAAGATGATTGGTGTTTGGACTCATGGACAAACCAATGTTTGAGCCATAATTCAACTGCTGAAAAGAGAGATAACTTGCCAAATCAAGAGGCTTATTACAACTAGTGGTGGAGGTTTCATGTGTGTTAACAAACCTATTAAGGAAGAATTCATGTGTTGGTGGGGCTACAGCAGCACTCATATGATTGGAATAACGGTCCATAGTCGTCGCTGAAGATGGTTTTGGTTTCTCTGTTTCAATTCCATAGTTAGAATTCTCATGAGCTTCAAAGAAATTGAGTTCACTGGAGCCTTCAGAAGCTTTCTCATTGTTCTTACTGATTGCTGAAACCTTCTCTTCATTCTCAACCTCAGATAGTGGCTTGTGAGTGTTTGGATCAATCCCTTTTTGCCTTAGTTTTTTCTTAATTGAAGAATTCCACAAATTCTTGATTTCATTATCTGTTCTTCCAGGTAATCTAGCAGCAATTTGTGACCACCTATGGAAAAAGAAGTCAAGGGTCAGTTTTGTTACATCATGAAAAGTACTATAAAGTGTAAAAGAATCTGTATTTACTTGTTCCCTAGAACTGCATGAAGTTCAATGATCAAATTCTCTTCCTCAAGTGAGAATGTTCCTCTTTTCAAATCAGGTCTCAGGTAGTTAATCCATCTTAGCCTGCAGCTCTTGCCACACCTCTGAAGTCCTGCATCAAAAACAAAATAGTGTTATTTTCCTGATGCATTTTCAAGAAAACTGAGTAAAATAGTGTGTGTATTGTACCAGCTAGTTTAGGGACTGAACTCCAACAGCCATAACCATATTTAGTAATATGATTTATAAGTTTTTCATCTTCTTCAGGGGACCAGAGGCCTTTCCTCAGTTTCTGCTTGTAACAACAAGAATGCCTCCCCATGTGTAATGCAATGTAATGCTGGCAAAAAAGGCCAAAAAGAAGCCTAAGTTTTTTTCACTTTTTTTTCTTGAATGCTAAGCTGTATTGTGTCAGCGCAACAAGAGGAAGAGCAATTCTATTTAGAATGGTTATATGAAGGATGATGTTAATGATAATTAGAAAATGGAAGGAGAGTGGAACCTATGGAAAATGAAAGGGCGCACAGGCTGGTATGAATCAAATAGATAGGAGGGAGGAACCTTAATATTAATAAGAAAGTCATATTCAGCAGATGCTTTGATTTTGAGGTTTATTCAGTTTGTTATTAATGTTATACTGTATGAGTTTAACTTTATACATCGACAGTGTAAATAATTTTACATTATCAAATCATTTAAGAATCTATTACAGGTAATATTTTGTAACAAACATGATTCAGTTGCCTTAAATGGTGATAAGTTACTCGTTATAGCAGGTAAAACTACGGGTAACATAAAAATCTTTTACTCAATATACACAATTTAAATTCATGTTATATTGTTTCTTTCTGTTTTTTTTTTTAAAAAAAAAATTATCTTCCCCTTCTTCTACATTTGAAGTGTGAAATTGGAGCTCCAATAATCTTATTTTATTTTGTTTTATAACAGGGTTTTGAGAAAATTAATGAGTTTGACAGCATTTGTGGGGTACATCTACAGAGATACTATTTCTTTAGGGAACAATAAGGGCATTTTCTTCCTCAAGACTTCCTGTTCATAAAATCTTAATTCAGTTAAAATAAATTAAAACTTAAAAAAGGGAATAAAATTTTAAAAAAAAACAAGCTGGTATGTTGATAACTTGTTTTAAGAAGATGAGAGAATATTTTCAACTGATATGGTTTGTTCAAATAAACAACTGATCTCTGAGTTAAATTCAATTGCAAAAGTTCCAAAGTACAAAAAGAGAGAGATAGAAGGTTGAAATATTTAGAAAGGATTAGTTAATAAAAGAATCCAGAAGTCGAGAAATTCCTGTGATTAGTTAAAACTACTCCCTTCGCTTATTTTTACTTGGCACGTTTTGACTTTTCAAGCCTCTTAAGAAATAATATATGAAGTATAATTTACCATGATACCCTATTAATTGATGCATATTTTATTGGATTTGAAAAAAAAAATTTGAAATGAGTAATAAATACTGTGGGTATAACAGGAAATTTTTTTTTTTTGCTTCTCTAGATATGCGTAAAGTGACAAATAAAACTCAAAATTTATTTTTGGTATACATGCCAAGTAAAAGTGAACGGAGGGAGTAGCAATTTGGATAAGCAAGATTTTATTAATGGTAAGAAAAGAACTTCCACCAGTATACATTCCTTTAATTGTCTTTTATGTTTGTCATAAGATAAAAATCTATATATAGACTCCAGTGTATTTATTTAGTGGTTTTTTTGCCAGGTGGCATTAAATTATTAAAGTTTATCTATCATTTCTGTGAACTGATCATAATCTCTTTGTATAGTGTTATTTACGAATATTTCTGAAGGAAATTATTTTTAATTTCTTGGGAACATGAAGGGTATCTTCCATTTTCTCTTAAAAATCATCTATATTCCCAACAACTCCAAATATCAATTATTTTCCTTTCACAGACAGAATCAAACAAGATAAAGAAAATAAAGAAGCCTCCCTCTTCATAATTAATTTAGATATTTTTTAATTGTTTTATAGGATTATTTTTCTCCCTACATGACAGGAAAAGAACTTCTTTTGTGTTTATGATCAGTTGTGTGACTAAATGAAAATAATTAAACGAGTAAACGTTGTTTATTTCATATAAAACACAGCCGACAGTGACAATAATGTAGCTGTCCTCCTTTGAACTTAGAATATATTAAACTTGAATATGGACAAATTTTAGTAAATTATTTGACCAAAACTTTTGTTCATTGTATACCCCCTTTTTTTTCTCTTTAAATTTAAATTTTCTTGAAAAATACTAGCATCAAAATTTCTATAATGATTGTTTGCCTGTTAGATATATGTTATCTCACATTAGTACACATAACAGATAATTTTGCTCAGTAAAGTTTAGGATGATCCAATTATTCAATTGCATACCTGCTATTTTACATTAGCACCGATATTAAATAACTCTACTCACTTAACCGTGTTATATCTGTTAAAATTTGAATCTTGATTGTTCGTGATTTTGCACCAATTTCATTGAATAGTTTATTTTCCAAATTATACTGGAACTTAAGCTTTTACTATAATACAAAATAATAATAATAATCAGCGCCCCAGCGCCTTTTATTAAAAAAAAAAAAAAACTACATATTTCTGGTTGGTAATTCTAAAGTTGGCCTGCTGAATCATTTTAGGAAGTCGGTTTTCTATTTTAAATGAGGGAGCCAAACGTGGCCCATTTTGTGGGGTTATTCGAAAAATTACTATCTTCCATCTAGAAATATACCATATTTATTAGGCTAATTAATTATAATGTGACTGCACTGCCTTTTCACTTTGACGGCTTGCAAATTTGCTTAAACCAACCATAACAGATTCAATATTGTTGCACAAAGGGAATAATAATAACACATTGGACTTGAATCAAATAGCAAATTGAAAAATCCTTTGCAGTAAAACTTTCTTAATTGCAAAGACGTCTGATAATCACGTGGAAGGTAAAATAAAGAAAAAGAAAAATTAATTAATTTAAAAGGTGAAAGTGAAATACGGAAATGGTACATTGAAGCATGTAAATCGTAAAGTACTAAAGTTGCTCGTAAGTGGAGAGCCGATATGATCTCTCTCCACGTAAAAATAGGGCTGTACATAATTTGGTAAATACCAAAATACCGTATTGAAATCGAAAATTTTGAAAGAAATCGAATACCGAAAATATCAAACCGAAATGTCTAAATATCGTACCATACCGACCGACGAACACCCCTACATACAAAATACATTCGTTAGAGCAGTTTTACAAATTAAATTATACTAATAATATAAATATTCTTTATATTATATATTAGTGGCGGAGGCAGGATTTCGTTAAGGGGGTTCAGAAAAAAAAAAAAAAAAAGTTAAAAAGGTTGTAGCTAGTGGGAAAAGAATCAATGACCTTACAAAGGTTTTGAACCCCCTTGACTACTAATTATGCTTTTGGGTCATATCAAGAGTATTCAAAATATAATATATAGAGATAAAAAATAGATTTTACCTTAAAAATACAATGTAATTTTTCAAGGAAGCGGGTTCGGGTGAACACGCTTCAACCCCTAAATCCTTCCCTGCTATGTGTTCAATTCATATATTAGTACGTGTCGTGTAACAAAAATTTTAGGCCAATCACCTTGATGAGACAACTTTTGGTTAAGCATGAGTGGCTTCCTTCTCTTCTTCCTTGAGAATTTCCATTCTTATAATCTTTTAATTTGTTCGTTCTTTGAGTCAATGGACTACTTTGCTACAGCTGTATATCAGCCGCATCATCAATGAAAGAGAGAGAGAAAAAAGGAGATCTATGCCATGAATAAGCAATCACATTTCTAGAGACTATGTTTTTCATTTTAGTTTTTGTTTCTTATTCTTATTCTTTCATTGCTTAGCTGTTATTTTACTACAAACCTCCAACTTTACCCTTAGAATGTCACAACCCAAATTTCATAATAGGTCATGATGACGCCCAACAATGCTGCTAGGTAAGCCAACGCGTGAACTTTCACATAATTAACCATTTTAGCTTTTATAAATAGGATTAAGTTTAGGTTTCATGAAAACATATGCTCTACCTTACCAAAGCACCGATATGTGAACAAATTATAAAGCAAACCGTGAGCATCCATTAGAAACCCCCAATATTCGGTGTCACAAGTGCATGATCAATCTATTAGGAAGTACCATACTAATACAACATCTGTCTGGAATATAAAACAGACGGGATAAAATAAATAATTAACAACATCATTTCATAATGTATCGTATTGTATTTGTACTTTATTGTATTGTATTTTTTGATGAATACAATATTTGGATAGATTGTATCATTTGCCGTCGTTTTATGATATACGCACCAACAATATGAAGAATAAACTTGCAACATTACTAAGAAAAAGTAGGATACAAAGTAGAATTATTATATAAAAGAGTAGGGTAAAGGATAAAATATAATTATTTAATAACAAGGAAGGGCAAGATGAGAGAAAAAAAAAAGCAAGAAAACGATGCCACCACACCAAATATGTCGTTCTATAAAGTGACACTTTTCATCGTTACGTAACGATGGATTTAACGATACGATACAATAAAATTTAAGTGACAATCAAAACAAATATTGTATTTAAAATAACAATACGATACAATACAACATGCAACAACCATCCAAACAAGCTCTCCAAATAGGCCTGATGTGCAAATTGCCCAAAAATATAAATTTGTTCTTCGAATTATAACAATCTGATATACGATTTAATACCTAAATCTACTTCAAATGAGCTCAAATTTGAAACATAACCTCCAAATATTATCAATAACAAACCCCAATCATCAATTTATCAAAACAACAAAAATCTAACGAACCCATTTTGCAATTAAGAAAAAGAAGAAAAAGAAACCCTAAGTAATAGTAAAAAATAAAGCGTCATAACAACTCATCATTGTAAAACATCATAAACTACCTTAAAATATGTTCACAAATACCATATAAAATCACTGTCACCCGAAGAAGAAGGAGGAGGAGGAGGAGGCGGAGGAGGAGGAGGAGGAGGAGAAAAAGGCCTGAAGTTATTAAAAAAATGGATATAAGTTAAAACTTTTTAAAAAAAAGTGGGTATAGGTTAAATGAGGGCGACCAAGTAGGGCGCCCTTTTTACATTCGGCAATCGTACAGCTTCTAATCTATGTATTATTAAAAGGAGAGGAAAAAACCCTCTCCTTAAGCCAAGTGACATCCTTAAAATTAGCCACATATAACATATTAACTAATTCAGCCATGTGGCATAACCAGAAAAAGTCACATATAAATTATTTTTTAATTAATTAATACTAAGTAACTAAATTTAAATATGCTCGCTAGTCGAATATAGTATAATATAATATCGTTTCCACATGGATTGGAGTTAAACTGTATTATCGTAGTTTTTAGCTAGATTGCTATCCAAGATGATCAACAATTGAGAATTTTGTGATTAATACTAAGATTAACTAAGAATCTAGAGCTAATTGACTAATGACAATTGACGCAAGTAATATGCAAAGAAGGTTATCAATGGGAGAAGATAGAGTTTTGATAGGATAGGTGCAAGACAATTGTTTG